GGATAGCTTGATCGGCGGGACAGGACATGTCGCTGCTTCTTTGATGCAACCGGAGATGACGAGCGGCCACGCAGAAATAATTCGCCGTTCCACTCACCCTATGTGCAACTACACTTAGAAATTCAAGACTGATGCCGGAAAATTGTGAGTGTGGTCTTTTCACCTCGAGCAGTCGCCTGACGGGAAAGCAGTCGAGTTATATTCACATCTCCCTGGCAGCCTTTTGCTCATCTAGACTGGTATCTTTCCGATAAGGGAGCTCGATGTATAGCAACCACCAGCTTTGCTCGTGCCCCAGGCCAGGTGGTTGTCCGAATGGGTCCCTCGGGCCGGACGGTCAGCAACGCCACTCACACTCTACTCGACGGCCATGGCTCAGCTGTGCCCTGTTCAATTGACTTCGGCAGTATTACAGAGCATGATCGAATTGTTATCTTCCAACCTGAGAATAGGACTCAAGCTCCTGTGCTGTCTCAGGCGTTTTTGGACGTAGCCATTGGGAGGAACACACAGGATGCACAACCGCTTCCTCGTCGTATCACCGGGGTTATTGACCCAGAAGGTGAAATGCTGTATGGGAGACCCTGGGGAAAATCGAAGGAATCCGAGTATCAACATGTGGTTCGGTGTACAGATGAAACGATAAGTGCTGCCGATTTAGGAGGACATCATTTGGCTGTCTGGGTCCCATTTCAAAGCGGCATTGTACCCGCCAGAGAACCAACGGTCGACCAACAGGATTATGACCAAGCCCAGCTCACCTCGCTGTACGAAGACACCAACAGTTCAACTTCAGGCTCGGACTTAGGCATCTCGAGGGATAATCCAAGCGACCCATCCTTCTTCACCATGAATTCCTTTCAGACTCCAGAGGATGTTAGCAACGATCTGTGCATTGTAGTCAAGCCTTTGTACTGATGCCTTAATCTCATACTAACTCACAAGTCATCTATTTCTGCTAATATCTAGACATAGGAGTTTCTGATACCAAGCAAAGTTTTGGTTTGAGTAGTTGAGCACATAATTAAAACATTATTATCTTCTTCGGTGACAACATACCCTGTGTCTTAGATTCATGAGCCCAAACCTGCTTACTGTGACACACTGACTGCCACCAACTTCGTCTTTGCCTCAGCCGTTACGTACTTCTATGCAATTCCTGATACTGGCTCGGTCTTGACAGTGAGAGTTGATATTCGTGATTCAGCCTGTTAACCGAATTTTGGCATTTACTTTGGAGTAGTTGATGTGGCAAATCCAGCGCTAACGTCTAGCGGGCTTCTTCGCGCCTCTATTTTGCTTGCTTTAGTCAGTAGGGTTGATGGCATCCTCGAACTGTTGAACCAGTATTAAGTGAACATAAGGTGCGTCAAAAACCGTCCTATCTACCTCTTTTGAAACCCACTTTTCTATTAACGTGATGTTTAAGTTTAATTTCTGAGTCGTCACTTTAGGTCAAGAGTTTAGGATAGATGAAAATGATGCTAGTGGTGAAGGTGACGGAGATAGTAACTGACCCCTGGATATTCGGCTCCGCTCCGACACCCTTGCTTAACTCCCCGAGCACAGGGTTTGTTGTGTCATTAACTCCGCCACGGCGACGACGCGCCACGCCTGATTAGGTCTGTTTTGTTGAGAGCTGTCTTATGATAGTCCGGGCTGCAAAGGAGCTCTTGCTGGAGCGTATCCAGTACTGCATACTGGCATTTGCTCTTGCCAACCTAAATGGAAATTGAGATATCGGTTCTAACATAAACTCTCTGCGTAGCTGGGACTTTAATATGGATTATGTGGTGCTGGACCTTGCACCTAGGTTGCAGTACATTATCTATTCAGTAGTAGTCGGCCTCATCACTAAGTTGGTGACCTCCTACTTGTGGAGGTCTTTTCAGAAGCGGAAGATGTCAAATTCGTATAGGGGTCAATTGTGCGTATATTCTGGTGTGTGTAGCTGTAACTATTGCTTGTGGGCGGCCGCGCGTGAGATACGCGCTTGGCAACCCCCTTTTTCCTGCGGCCTGAGGCAACACGGGGCGAAGCCCGCGCGCGCGGCCTACTGCCCGAGTCGTAGCCCGGGGATACCGGCGCGCGCCCAAGCGCACTTCGTGAGCGCTCTGAGAGCCTCAATTCTGACAGAAGAAGGGCTATAGAGCGATTCCGCGCTATCCGCAGCTAGATCCCTTTTTAGGCTTAGACGTGGCGGACACAGTGGTTGTCAAAAGTGGTGGGATTGTCAAGAGCAATACGCACTGGATAAGCGAGGATGCGCGCTGTGCGCGGCGAATGCGCGGAGAAATGACCAGCGAATGTGCCCAGGATTATACCCACTTCATGGGTAGATTAGGCCAATAAGAGCCTGCAAATTCACTGGGAATTACCTAACAAAGAAGCCCCTGAAAACGGGGGTTTCCTAGGTTTTTTCTCTAGATCATCTACACAACGGAGAACACAGATACAACCAATAGTATCATCTAATTTACCCCTACTTTCAACAGTAGCTTCTTCCTTAAAGAAGCACACCTACCTGCTGTAGCTCTGTAACTTATATGTTATAAAAAAAGGCTAAGATAACTACCTATAACTTCTTTAGTATAAGGCTTATTTATACTACTAAACTAGAGAATATAAAGACCCTGTTTACTACGCTAGTCTAGAAACACTTTAGCGTTACTTTTTGTTAAAGATATAGGTATTTACTACCTCTTTATACCTTTATTGCTTAAGTATTTCCGCTATTATAGCAGATTATATAAGCAACCTATATACCATAGTAATCTACTATACTAGTAGATTATTATATATATTGCTTACATAAGCACATGATTACGTAAGCAACAGAAGGATCTAGAAGATAACTTTAAAGGCAAGATTGGTTATAAGCCTTAACTTTGTTACACGATTAGGTTGCTTATTCTTAGTTACGTGTATCTGCTTATTAATAGGTTAGGATTGATTTCTGAGGCGTTTTGTAACAGCTTACGTAGTATGGAATATTCTAGTAAGCTGCATAGGTCTAAATAAAGACCTAGATATCTCTATATCTAAATACTCTCTTTAAGCAAGCAAGCAGATAACAATCCAACTATATACTATCTTTACTAAGCCCTTATTGTTATATTTATTTCCCCTTATTAAGAGTCCTATAGCTACCCCTATAGGCTTATATTGCTGCTTCTGTAAGCCTATCCTTCTTAGATATCTCTTAGAGACTCTTTATCTCTACAGACGTCTACAGGGTACTTAGAAACAAGATATCTAAGATACCCTTTACCTCTTGCTGTTGTGCAACAATAACGCTATTACCGTTATATATAACTACATTAACCGTTATATTAATAAGGCATACGCAGACTTAGCCTAGAAGCAGGCAGCAGCAAACGGTACTAACAGTAAAAACAGATTAACAGCCGCTATTAAAAAGACGCCTAAGAGGACGGATCTACTTTAGTCTATAATCCCCTACTTTAGTATAGACAGAGCGTGGCTTTAATCTAAGATGCTGGTCCTGTTTATCTCTAACAATAATATAACTACTATCCTGATTAGTAACGCTAATAAGTTTAAGCTAGAACGCTAGTATAGACTGTCTCCTTCCTGGCGCTTTATGCCTTTAAGAGGTAGTCCCAGACGCTGCCCCGCGCAGACCTTGGCCACTGTTAAGGCGAGCTACTGCATTACAAGGTTTGCCTGCCGCTTTAAGGCCATCAAGAATCAGGATGCCAACCATTCCTCCGTGCCAATCATTCGGGTCAGCCCAGTCCACATGAATGGTGTCCAGATTGCCGCTGTGCCGGCTTAGCTCCAAGCCGGGAATTCTATAACGCCGTGTTAGGTCACATATTAATCAGGTTGCTGTTGTTGTCGTTGTTGTATTTAACGCCATGGCGGCAAGAGCGCAGCCGCCCTTGCCGCAGACCTCCCGAGGGTTATGTGGTGTAAAAGGCCGTAGGCTACGAGCTAGTGTACAAACAATTATTGGTGCGTTGATGAATCAAGACTCAAAGGGCTAAGCATTGGTGTCGAAGGGCCTTTTGAAGCGCCAAGCCCCACTTTCCAGGTGCAGGTGCTGTCACCTGCCATTCTGTAGCAAGCATTGCCGTGTACAGCCTCAGCCATACATGGCGACCCTAGCGTCGGTTGTCTTTTCTAAGGGGTTCTTCGAATTTGCGGAGGGGAGAAGAGTGATGAGACGATCGAAGTCGACCAGTCGGTTGGAGATAGTGACTTGGGGCCCGGAAGTGCCGCTTAGACGGGGAATGAATTTCGGCCGTCTCCTTCGGGAGATTAGATGGAACCCCTGCTTTGTACACTACTACTCCGTAGTCCGTGTTGCAAGGAGACCCACTCTCTGATATCGCATCTGACAAAATCGCGTTGAGCAGCCAAGAAGGGCGGTGTTGGGAGGCTGGGCAGGGGGTTTCACCGGCTGGCTAATGCAATGTCAGGGACCAGCAGCGAACCATTGCAGGCAAACCAAGGCATGTTAGTAGTCTAACCTTGCCGGACCGACAGATTCACGTATGGCGATCTCATACCTGCTTACCGCTGATTCGGGATTCGCTTCGGTTTGATTAAAGGGGAAAAACGCACATCCTCTCAACTTTCCTTTTTCCAACCATTCTCCCACTAGTCTCATCTACTGAAACTCAATTGCACAGGCGCGGACGACACAACTTATTGCCAAAGACGCGACTGTATTCGGTTTACTCCATTTGGATGGCGGTCGAGAAGCTCTGTTCGGTTGCTGATGTGTTCATGTAAACAACGCGATAGCCTTCTTCGAGCCAACCGGGTATCCGCCCTTATCTGCCTTGGTAGCAATCCCATCCCCAACATCTTTGCCTCCTGCTCGATCTCAGCTTGTCCAGAGCAAATTCAGGTCTCTAGTTGGCTGACTGAAGCACCGCCACAACCACATCTCTAATCCCTTTTCATCTACGAAGAAGCATCCTCTTTCTTCCCTTAGTCAAAGCCTCTTTCTGCGCAACATCCGTCGAGTCATGTCCGCCGCTACCGTGCCCGTCCCGGCGCAGCCGCAGAAGCTGGAGAGGAAGCCTATCAAGTTCTCTAACCTGCTTCTCGGTGCTGGCCTCAACCTGTTCGAGGTCACCACCCTCGGCCAGCCCCTGGAGGTCATCAAGACCACCATGGCCGCCAATCGTGGTGACGGGTTCGCGACCGCCTTAGGCCGTATCTGGAGTCGTGGTGGTGTCCTGGGTTGTAAGTATCTTCTCTCCCACCTCACCACCTGCTAATCTAAAACCCACTCAGTCTACCAGGGTCTGATTCCGTGGGCCTGGATCGAGGCTTCGACCAAGGGCGCAGTGCTGCTATTCGTTGCCTCTGAGGCCGAGTACTATGCGCGTAGTGTGGGCGCCAGCGAGTTCGGCGGCGGCGTCATCGGTGGAGTGGTGGGCGGTGTGTCGCAGGCATACACGACCATGGGCTTCTGTACTTGCATGAAGACAGTCGAAATTACTAAGCACAAGATGACTGCGTCAGGGCAGAAGGCCCCTAGTATTTGGGTCACTTTTACAGATATCTTCCGATCTGAGGGTATCCGCGGTATCAATAAGGGTGTCCATGCCGTTGCCATCCGCCAAATGACCAACTGGGGAACGCGCTTCGGTCTCAGCCGCCTTGCAGAGCAGGGTATCCGTAAGGTTACTAACAAGGATAACGGCGAGAAGTTGAGCGCCTTGGAGAAAATCACGGCCTCGGCTTTGGGCGGCGGCCTATCGGCCTGGAACCAGCCGATTGAGGTCATCCGTGTCGAGATGCAGAGCAAGAAGGAAGACCCCAACCGTCCTAAGAAGATGACGGTGGGCAACACCTTTAAGTACATCTACCATACTAATGGCCTTAAGGGTCTTTACCGCGGTGTTACCCCGCGTATCGGCCTTAGTATGTGGCAGACGGTCTGTATGGTTGCTATGGGTGATATGTGAGTTTTGCTCCGGATAAACGGAGGGAATTAAGTTACTAACCTATGATATGATAGGGCCAAGACGTATATTGAAAAGCTAACCGGCGAGACGGTCACGGCAAAGCATTGAGCGGTGGCGTTTGGGACGCAAGGGGGAAAGGTTGATTTTGCTTTGCTGTTTTGGTACAATCTGCTTCCTGCTCTCTTTTTAACCAGATTTAGGTGAGAGGTCTATCTGGTTTTATTTTTTCTACGGGCGAGAAGGGTTCATATCAAAAGGGCCAACTCTAGGATCAACTGAGAACAAATATAGAGTATGTTAGTCGGTACGGTCATGCGTTTGACATGAAAAGTGTTTCTCGTACTTATCTTATCAGTATGTATAGGCTGCTAGGCTGTCTAGTGGCAGTTTTGTGTTGCTGGTTTTGTGTAGTGTCATGGTGAGCTTTCTAGTATGCATTTATGTCGACAGTCGTAGATTGATGTGCGGAGATTCCAAGGTTGTGCTGAGATCAAGAAGGGGATACTTGCTGCTGCCAGGACGTTGTTCTATTATTGGCGCGTCAAGTTTGGGCTAATTTTTCAAGATCTCCGGGCAGGCGTGTCTTAATCTTGCCACCTGGAAATGACATGGAAACCCAGAAACTACTTCTTATCACGCGCCCTGATACAAAAAGCCGACGTCATCCTCCCAAGGCAAGGCGTCCCAGGGATCCGAGCCATCGAGCGACGGGCCGCTGTCACCTAGCTGTTGTTCAACGCTAGACGTGGCTGAGCCATCGACATATACAACGCCGGACCCGATCGGCCCGCGCAGGCGCGCCTCGAGGACGGCACAGCATTCGGCGAGGGCGGTGCGCACCGTATCGGCGACGACAAGGGCGTGCTGGAGCAAGGTGCGGCGAGCACTGATGCAGGCGTGCATACAGGCGAAGAAGGCGGCGGCCTTGACGCTGGTCTCGCCGGCTCGCACGCGGCGGCGCGTCAGGCTCGTGGCGTGCTCGAGGGCATGGAGTAACTCGCGGCGCGACAGGGATGACGCGACCGGAGATGAGTCCTCGCGCAGCTGCTGCAAAACCTCGGCGCACACGATGAGGGATGCGGCCAGGAACGTATTATTGAACACGCTGCCGCCGAATAACTGCAGGTTGGCGAAGTCCTGCAGCGATAACCACGGCGCGGCGGCCGCGTTGGTTTCGGTGTCGGTGTGGGCGTTGTCGCCGTTGTAATCGTCGTCAGAGCCGTCGTCGCCAGCGCCAGTTTTGCGACGCCTTGTTGGTTCGCCGCCTTGGGACGAGGGAGGTGACAGCAGCAGCAGGGCGCACTCCTGGCACATAGTTCGCGAGAAGTGGTAAGCAACGTTACTGGTGGCCTTGTGCGCGAACTGGGCGTGCAGCAGCAGGAGGAAGCGCCTCGCCAGGAGGTCCTGTATCTTGATGTGGAACGCCCTGGGCCGCGGGCCGTTGGCAGTCGCCGGTGACAATAAGAATGAATCAATTAGCTTAGAGGTCTCGCGACAGGCCGCCGTGAGCTCAGCTCCCATGCGCAGGGCCGTGTCGTAGGAAAGCTCACCCTGGAACCGGCTCAGGAGCTCGGCTATGCGACGCCGGATGGGCAGGGACCTCAACAAGGCGCATTGAATAGAGCTCTGCGTAAATGTGCTTGTCGCGTGACCCATGGGCAGTGTCTCAGTTGAGTCGCTGATTTGGGAGTCGTTGAGATTGGAGGGAAACTCGCAATTCAGGGCCTCGGCCGGGATGACGGGGTGGGTACCGGAGTCCAGGCTGCACTGTACCGCCAGCTCGAGGATCGTGACCCACAGCCGTCGCCGGACCTCGGCCTCCAATGGGCTGACGGGCAGCTGGCTGGGCGCGATGTGCAGGCCCACGGCCATGGCGCTCTGCACAAGGGATGCCACGCTGATGCCGGCCAGGTCGCCACCGACGGCGTTGGTGTTGGTCAACAACGCGATGACCAGCAGGCATTGAGACTGCACGCGGCGGAGGCTCAGGTGTTTCTTCCGAAAGGGGGCCGCGAGACGCACTTGGCAGGCATGGATCCAGTGCGTTGCCTGGCAGCGCAGGGTGGCGGCGCCATCGGTAGCGACGGCATCTTGGTAAAAGCAGGTTCCGATGGCCATGACGAGAAGCAACTGTACAACGAGTGGCTCGCTGGCCGGCTGCGGGTTGCTCCAGTATCGAAGATAGTCGCGCCGGAAACAGGGAACATGCAGCACCCGGAATACCGACTCGAATGTTCGAAGGTACAACCGGACCAGCTCATCGCAAACCTCCCTCGGAGGCATGTACTCTCGGAGAAGCATGGGGGGCGATCGGGAGTCGGGCCCCTTGGATTTCACTTCTCGCGCCAGTGTCTTACATTTCTGCAGGAGCGGGTGACCCTCGCCCCGGAACAGAACACTGACGACGTCGTCGAACAATCCTTTCTGCTCGTACTTTGCCCCTCGACCAAGTCAGTCAAGAATCCAGGTCATTATATCAGATAAGTGTGCTGCTAAGGATTTTTGAAGCATACGACTTGAGACTTTCGTTGAAATATACCTTGCGTAGAATCGATATCCAATGTGTTGGTGCGTACAGCCGGGACTTTGAGAACAGCACCCTGCCCGGTTCTGCCGCCGAGAAGGACTCGGGGTACAAGGGGTGGGGTAGGAAAGCAGCCGATTGTCCGGCTTTCGTGTTTGCATTCGACAGGGCGGTTCCACTGTCGGGGACGAGCGTCACGGCACTAGCGTCTGCTCAACGGCTGGTCAAGCGCGCCGAGAACTTCGGTCTCGAACCAGTCGGGGCCACTCATGTCTACGGAGATGGCGCCTGGGACCGCCGATGCAACGTTCAAGTCTGTTGCAGAAAAGTTCTTTGGGTAGTCGGCATTGGCCAGCGACTCTGACGGCGGCCCTGAGCCGTAACATTGGTGCGTAGCTTGCGTGCTTGACGCCGACGAGCCTGAACAAGGCTGCGAGCTGGCGCTGTTGTAACTGTCGATTTGGGAGTCGCTACGGGCATAGTTCTGATAGTAGGTGCACTCCAAGTGAGCCTGGACACACTGGGCACAGGGTGCTTTGCGATCGCATGCAATCTTCCGCCGACGGCAACTTGTGCACACCACCGCCTGTCTCCGCCGCTTACGAAACGGTAAGTTTGGGCCCTGCCCGTCGGGCATGACTGTTTCGTCTCCGCGAAGGATAAAAACTGGAGAAAGAATAGTGGCACGGGCCGGTCTACCACAATGAGCTATACACTAGCACTGCACTACGGATACAAAGGATGAATTAACTGCGTATTTAAACAAATGTCGCACTTACCTACCTACCCACTTTAATATCTGATAAGCCTTCATCACTTGCCAGGTAGGCCGAGTGAGCGGGGTGAGCGCGACGGTATTGTGCTTGGAGCCTGAGTCAGAGGGGTTGATTGACAAGGCTTCGCCGCCCTTATGCTTTTGCATACAAGCCCAGCGTCCCGCTATAGTACTACTTCAGCTCTGACGTGATTGACAAATGAAGGGGCTAGAACGCGCCAGCTTGCACCAACAGGTGGCGCACGTCTTAGTGTTGGCTGCAACCGGTACGTACGGATAGGTGGAATCGACCTGTGGAAGTGGAGTAGGCGGTTGCGGTCGGCAGGGGTGGGGCGGGCCCCAAAAGTCCCGGATAATAAAAATGTCTTGGCTCGTATATCCAGCATACGGCCTCCGTATCTTTAGCGTGTTGTATTGAACCCATGCTAACGTCCTCTAAGTCATGCCTCAATGGCTACGTAACCGTCCTACTATGCCGCTGGGCCCCGCTGGGTCACCCGGCTCAAGCCTGAATCGAATTGGCAACGAGCAGAGCTTGCTAATCTATCTAATTGACCCGCCCGTCTTGGGTGTAACGGTCCAAGGCGAGTATATTTTCAACTGGCTATGGCGACTACTATGAGTATCCTCAGATGAGGATCAGAAGGGAAAACTACGCATCTCCACCTTGCCGTCGGTTTGATCAGGGTGATACCGCACTGGCCATCCGATGGTTGGCATCGTTGATTCTGTGGAGGGCCTAGCCGGGGTTGTGTGATCCTGGCCGCGATGTTTAGCGAGGCCTCCTACGGGCCCAGCCCGTTACACTGGGTCTATTGAATTGTCGACAGGGTCAAGGCCCTTGATTATTCACGGGGGTTGAGGGTCCTTAATGGACACCTTGTTCCCGCTTGTCGGGCGGATGTGAATCATCATCATCCTATTGGGCCCTTGATGAGCACCGTCTCTTCGTGCTGGGTTGGAGGCCCCAGGCCCCCGATTGGTCTGATTGGTCTGATTGGTCTGATTGGTCTCTTTGACGACGTACCTGGCCGCCGGTCCCGCATTGTTCTGGCTGGGGGAGACCGGAAGGCCCGCATATCCCATCGACTGCGGAATGGCTACAGTACATCCTGTGAGGGACGTAGGAGTCAGCCAAGCCTTATTTCGACCAACCAGATGGTCTGGTTTCTCGGTATCTCTCGCGTCGGTCCCTTGTGCGGGGTAGAGCCAATAAGGGCATACGGATACATGGTAATAGTAGGAAGGAATACATAGGGTAAATGACGTACCGTCATATATACCCTGCTGTGAGGGGAAAAGTGGATAAACAAGGGGGGACGATGTACTGTACAGTGGGGAACCAAAAGTCTGAGATCACCCACCGTGTTGTCACGGCGCTGGGCCGGAAGCGCGGCCTCAATCCTGGCATTGATCTCCTTCCATAAAGCGTTCTTGAACAAAAGTCGAGGCTTGCCGTCTGTGTTTGGGGTCACAGTCTTAAACGTTGTCTCGATCGCTTGATGGTCCGATCCGTGGTCTGTCTCGTGCACAGCGCATCTTGTCATCATCCTTGCTAGCTCCTCCGATGCGATTGATAGGTCAATCGTTGTTGCTGCTTGCTTTTGGGCCCACACAGCCACTGGCCGTCTCAGATCCATCACCCCCTCCCATGATGAGCGCTGTGTGCGGCCAATTTGGCCTCGATCCGTGTCAGAACCTCAGAATGATGATGTCTGCTCTTGCGGAAACTACGAGTTCGATACAGGGGGTCAGCGAAAAGGGCTTCCTCCTTATTCTCAACTCTCTGCAACTCTCGACAGTGTGACAGATGTAGAATGCAAGTGTTATTCTGTACATGGCAACTTGCTTTCTCCCCAGCCCCTATTGTTCTGCTGATGATCAACAGCCGGCGTGAGAAATTCGACTTGCGATGGTTTTTGAACAATGTTGAAGGTGGAGGTCACAGATTTGTTTATCATCTTGACATCCTGCCCGCCCTCGCCAAATTCTTTCAAGTTCTCGGTGGAGATACTCGTAGAGAAGATCAATACAAAAAGACGGACAGCTTTTGAATGAATGAGATACGACAATACGGTTCGAACCACCCAAGCATTGTCCCGATTGAAGCACTTGAACGTCTATCTAGTGTTACCACCCTAAATCATAATAAGATCAGGCAGTCATTCCTGCTTTCCAAAGCCCAACAAATCCGAGCCTACCAGTAGCCATCGGACTTTGCTTCTGCACCTCGTGGGGCGACCGGTAGTTGAGGAACTTCCTGTTGAGCCAATCGTGGGCATTCCATCTCTGACCCTCGAGGTCCTCGAATTCAACCTGGTTGTTAGCCCGGAGGAAGAAGATGATGGCGTAGCGCGAGCCGCGGGTCCAGCGGTCGAGATACGGCACCACACGATGCAGGCACGACTTGAGGCGGCCGGCCGTCAAGAACTTGACTGTGTCGCCAATGTTCACGATGGCATGCGCGCCTCTGGCTGGCGGCACGTACTGCCACTCCTCGCTATGTGGGTTGCAGACTTGCAGGCCCCATTCGGTGTTGAAGAGGATCGTCACGCTACCCGTGTCTGTATGCGCGAAGTGGCCGCTGCTCGTGTCCGCCGGCAGGTCTCCCTCGAAGGGGTAGTGTTGCATGACGGCGGTAGACGTGGACGGCTGATCCGCCCGGTGAAGATTCTCGAGCCGCGAAGCACCCGTCAGATCCAGGCTGGTCGATAGCCGGCTGAGAATCAAGGTCGCTATAGCGTGTGACTGCTCAATGAAGGTGCCGGCTAGGTCTCGGTGCATCTCGGCGCCACGAGGGAACCGTAAGTGAGTTCGTGGGAGGAGGATGGCGTCGGCTGGCAGCTGCAATACATGGACCAGCAATGTGAGTCTGGGTCAAACAAAAACCTGGAGCTTAGCAATCCAAGACGCACCCTGAGGCCCTCGCATCCATCTTTCTTGCCTTCCATATTACCGGTATCAAGACTTCGCGGCTTGTAACTGTGATACCTGTTTAGGCGAAAGCATAAACAGAATGGGTTGGGCATATATACCCGCAAATATTGAATGTTTCCCAAGCGTGGTTGGTATCCTGCATCTTCTCCTCCAATGGCTTGTTGAAATACTGGACGGCGAAGTCGTTTAGAAGGCTGGTTGTTGCTCTGTATGACTCGATCTCGTCAGAGCCCAGGTCAAGACAGAAAAATCCCCATTCTGAACAGGCGGAGAACAATCTAGATGCTTCCTCAGCGTCGTCGCTTAGCAACTTCTGGATGCTGATGACGCTCAGATTAGCTGTGTTGCCCTGGCTAGGGCCTTCGAAGCGAGCCGAATCCATCTTTGACATTATCACCGGTGAGGGCCAGAGCAACAAGAATGTACGGATTTGCCATCTGAAGGCGAGAGCATGGCCAATCGGCTTATATAGAAGATGTCGGGTGCCTTCCCTTTTTTGACACCTTTCTTTTTTTTCTTCTTCGGTATTAAGAGCTCAACTACCAAGGTACTAGGTAGCTAAAGACCGCTCTACTAGGAGCATGCTCCAGCTCCGTTTAGGAAGGTCAGGCTCCCGCTGCGGTCCCACTCTACGCTGGCCGGATATTACTGAGGATAAATCCGCGGAGATAAGTCGATAGCCCGGATTGATTCCCTACTTCTTCATATCACACATCGTCGGCAACTACCAAGGAGCCAAATTCACAAAACTTGGTACGAGGGTACCATCCGGCCAATCTTCAAGTGCTCTTCACGCGACAACGCCAGGCCAGTCCCACCAGAGTCTATTGCGACGGTACTTGTCGGTGGCTCTCGGGCGACTTGACGGTTAGTCGATTCGGTACGCATACACCCGTGGGACACCAGACCTACGATGTCCCGGAACGAAGCCAGAGCCACCGAATACGTCGCAGTTGAGAAGGGCCGGGAACGAGAGACGAATGGCGCAGAAGGAGAAGAACTACGGGATCCAAACATTGTCGACTTTGACGGCCCCAATGACCCAGATCACCCACTGAACTGGTCAACGACCAGGAAGACGACGACCATCGTCGTCGTGTCCCTGACCGCACTGCTCTCGTAAAGTTCCGGTTCAATCTTACTCCAGTGAATTGTCAATCGCCGAAGCGATTGGCACAAGTCGTCAGAGCTAATGCATTTCTGCCCTTTGCTAGGCCCATAGGCTCGACCATCAGCGCGGCGGCGGCGGCCGACATTATGCACCACTTCGGCACGACAGACGAGACGTTGGGGGCCCTCATGACCACGATCTACCTGCTTGGATACGCCTTCGGCCCCCTCGCCATCGCGCCTCTGTCGGAGCTGTACGGACGCGCCATCGTGTTCCGCTCCTGTACTCTCCTCTTCACCGTCTTCAACATCGCGTGCGCGGTGGCGAACAGCTTCGGCTCCCTGGTGGTGTACCGCCTGCTGGCCGGCATCGCGGGGTCGTGCGCGGGCACGCTGGGCGCCAGCTCTATTGCCGATATGATTGCGCGCGAGAAGCGCGGGCGCGTCATGTCCGCGTACATCATGGGCCCGACCCTGGGGCCAACCATCGGACCCATCATCGGCGGCAATCTGACGGCGGCCGCGGGCTGGCGGTGGGATTTTTGGCTCATGGCTATTGCCTCGAGCGTCATGGCCGTCTTCGTCATCCTCTTCTTACACGAGTCGTATCCGTACGTTATCCTGAAGAGGAAGACGGCCAGGCTGCGCAAGAGCACTGGGAACCAAGACCTGCGGTCGGCCTTGGACACAAGCAAGACCCCCAGCCAGCTGTTCAAATTCGCTATCCTACGCCCTCCGAAGATGCTAGTCTCCCCCATCATTTTCTTGATGTCGGCATACGCCGCCACCGCCTTTAGTTACGCCTACCTCTGCTTCACGACTTTCCCCCGCATTTTCCAAGACCAATATGGCTTCGGCAGTGGAGCGTCCGGACTGACCAGCATTGGACTTGGAGTTGGGTTTATCGTGGGCCTTCTATTTGTCGGGGCCGTCTCCGATCCCTGGTCTGCCTACCTCACAAAGAAGAACGATGGCGTGACCAAGCCCGAGTTTCGACTGCCCACGTTGATTGTCGGTGCCGTGTTCGTCCCTGTCGGCCTTTTCTGGTACGGCTGGTCGGCCGAGTACAAGGCCCATTGGATTGTGCCCATCATGGGAACCGCTCTGCTCGGCATCGGCATCGTAACTGCATATGTGAGTTTGTGTTTCCCTGGACCAGCACACTCTTGAAGCAAAGCTAATGAACGCCCTCACCCGTACAGACAACCAGCGCTACATATCTCATCGACGCATACACGGTTTACTCCGCGTCGGTCATGGCCGCAAGTGCCATCCTCCGCTGTCTCTTCGGTGCCCTGCTGCCTCTGGCTGGTAGCGCCATGTTCGACGCCCTGGGAGTAGGCTGGGGCAACTCGGTCCTTGGCTTCATATCCCTCGCCTTTCTCCCCCTCCCGTTCATCCTTTTCTTTTACGGTGAAAGAATTCGCGAGTCAAAACTTTTCAAAATGGAGTTTTAGAATGCTTAGATCGGGCTACCTTTCGATTCTGCATGAGAATTCCAGCTATCCCAAACTTCTCAACAAGATATGGAAATAGAAACACACTTTTAATGCTTATGGTGTACTGAGATAACATGCTTGAGAGGCTGCCACTTGACTGCCACATCGTCCACGGCGCTCAAAAAGCTTGGCCTCCCGGGGGGCGCCAACCGACCTAAGTTTCGCATCGGCCCTTGTCGAGTGAGGTGCCCTCCAGAGCCTCGATCGCCGGCCCAGATAAGACGTAGTCCGAGAGTGTCCGCGAGGCGTCCGAAGCCAAGGCGTCGAGCAGATGGACATACGCGCCCACCAGGACGTCGGTGGCATCCCAGCTGTAGATGTAGCTCTTGCACGTGACGGTCACAGAATACGAGCCGGCCGCGGACTCGAAGAGGCCGAAACTTAGATCGTAGCGGTTGTTCTGGACGTCGCTGTAGCTGTCCACCGCCAGCCGGCAGTCGTCACCCAGGGCCACGTCTGCCATGGCGCCGACGCGGTAGTTAAAGGCGGTTTGGCACAGCGGGCTGACGGAGGTGTCGTCACGCGGCACGTTGAGGCGGTCTAGGATCACGTCGAACGGGACGTGGCCGTGACGGCGCGCCTCGAGCTCGTGCATCGCCGTGTTCCGGACCATTTCGGCAAAGGATGACGCCGCCGGCCTTCGCTCGTCGTCAAGGAGGCGGAAGCGCAGAGGCAGCACGTTGACGAAGTAGCCGACGACATCGGCGAGGCTGCCGCTGCCGTCGTCCGGCCGGTTCGCGTCGAAGACGCCGATGCAGATCTCAGCGAGGTCGGGTAGCAGCTTCGAGAAGAGGGCCTGCGCGGTGGCGAGGTAGAAGTGGAACGGCGTCGCGCGCAGGGCCCTGCTGGCGTCCTTGATCTTGGCTACGAGATGGCTGTCGATGTTCCGGAGGCACTTGTGAACCTCGTAGCGGCGTAGCGGCTTGCGATGTGTGGCGGAAGCAAGAGGCAGGAAGGGTAGCGGCTCGGGCAGCTCGGTGTACAGTCTTTCCCAGTATGAGATGGCCTCTCGCATGGCGCCGCTGCCCGACATGGACTCGACAGCCCGCCTCTGCTCGGCCGCCGCGTCTATGCACAGCTTGGTCTGTCGGCTCAGCGTCTGCGCGGAATACGCCCGTCCCAGATCGCGTAGGAAGACGGACCAGCTGACGCCGTCCATGAAGATGAGGGGGTAGCTGAAGATGATTGCGTACGCATCCTCGTCCTCAACGTGAACCAAGACGGCGCCGAACGTCTCCCCGTAGGCGAGATCCCACGCGCGGTTCTTCAGAGCGCTGAACTCTCGGGCGATGACGCCGTCGTCGCGCGTAGCCGCGTGGACTTGCTTCAAGAGTAATGTCGAGGACGGCGGCTGACGCAGGAGTGCCTGGGTCGGTTCGCCCGTCTCGTCGTCTGGGTAGATACATGTCCGCAGCGATGGGTGATGTACGACGACTTTGGCGAACGCCTCGCGTAGCTTTGGGACGTCGAGCGGGCCCGTGATAGAGTAGCAGACGGCGATGTTGCTGGCCCCCGGGTCGTCTAGAGCCTCCCCAAGAGACCAAAGCCTGGATTGCAGATAGGACAGCCTCTCGACTCTGGATGTATTTCTCAATCGCTTCTGGGGCTGAGAAGACTGCGTCTGAATAACAGTATCGGAATTTGCGTCGCTATCGGCCTTAGTCTCGCTCTTGCTCAAAGACGCTTTTGTCTTCAGGTCTTCATGGCCGCTTGGCAAATCGATAGATACACGCGCTGACGTTTTTGGGCTGCTTGTCAGGGGCGGGGTTACGATCGATGGCGCCGAGCTTTGTGACGAGGCCACCGGGTCATCGAGGTCGTCCGATCTGATGGTTAGATTGGTATCCGCGCCATCGCTCACGTCCGAGCCGTTGGCGCCGCGGAGGGCGAGGTACGTGGCCGCCGTGTCGGCACAGATTTCGTAGATCGTTTCTCCCCCGAGGAAGCGGAGGACGGGGACGTCGACCGAAATCTCCCTCAGAAACCATGTACGCGTCTCCACCGCCAGCAAGGAGTCGAAGCCGAGGTCGAGCAGCGGTGCGTGCACGTTGATAGACCCGGCGTCGAGCTGCAGCAGGGTCTCGAGCTTGGCTGAGAATGCATCTTGCAGCATGGCCTCGGCTGCCTCCGCTGACGAGGTGCTGTCTATTCTCTGACTGAGTGGCAAAGCTTTGTCGTCATTGACTCCCACCCCACAGGAGCCGGCCGCTTGCTTGTCTTCGTCGGGCGGTGGCAGGACGAAGTGCGACAGCCGGTGGTCGCTGACCCACGACGGCCTCACGAGGTCAGCGTCGCCCGGGCGATCCGGGAATGGCTCCAGGCCCATGCAGATATCGGCGGGTAACCCGGAGTCGGGACGGCTGGCGAGGACGGCCTCGGTGAACAGCTGATGCGCGTCTGATTCCGAGATCGGCATGAAGAACTGCTTGCGGAGGTGGTCCAGTAGCTGGCGACCCTGGCGCGTGACGTAGCCGGCGTCGGCCACGACGCCCACATGCATGACCGAGGCCGGCAGGCCCCTTGCGCGCCGGTTCGCAGCCAGCCCGGCCATGAACATGTTGGCCGCGTGGTAATTGGACTGGCCGGCGTTGCCGGCAACGGTGGCCAGCGATGAGAACAGCACAAAGTAATCCAGCTCATCGCCGAAGAGCTCGTCCAAGTGCCGCGACCCGTCCACCTTGGGCCGCAACGTGTCGTTGAAGCTCTCGACGTCCATGTTCAGGAACAGCTTGTCACGCAGGACAAGCGCCCCGTTGGCGACGCCGCCGACGGCCGGCATACCGTCGCTCCGCATCTGCTCGAGGGTCGCGCGGATGTCGTCTTTGTTGGTGACGTCCATCGCATACACGCCAACGTTGATCCCTTGTCTCTGCATCGTCGTAAGCCACTCGGGGTTCACCTCACCGCCGCGGCTAGTTATTGCGATATGGCGGGCGCCGTTCCGCGCCATGAAGCCGCAGATGGATTGTCCGAGATCACCATTCAGGCCCACCATAAGGTGCGTCTTTGAAGATGAGAATATCCCTGTCGTGTTCAAGGCCTTCACCTGAACAGTGACCTTGTCACTGCTGTTCCCATACCTGACATGCCAGTCGACGATGGCGGGATATGCTACGGAAGACGATGGGCGTCCCAGAAGGGCGTCTCTGGGGATCACGTGCACCTCATGGTACGCGTCACCAGCGGCTTCGCTGTCGACAAGGCTGAGGGCGTCAGCGTACCCATAGCCCAGCGCCTCGCTGTCCGTCTCGAGGAACGCCGGCTCGAAGCGGATGACTACGCAGTCCGCAGGCAGGCATGGCCGCAAATCCCGCTTGATGCCGGCTCCCTGCACCGAAAAGTCGATCATGGCAGCGACGTCGTCTGGGAGCGTCTGTCGAACCGACGAGTCGAGTGCGTGGGCATTGATCGAGATCCAGCCTTCCGGCAGGGCCTTTTCCGGCAATGAAGAGGACATACAATAGACCCGGCGACCTCTCCACAACCGGCAGCCCGCAATAGCTCGGACCAAGGTCTCGGCTGGCTCATGGAGCAGGATAGGCCCGCGCCGGGGCACGCGCGGAACGAGACTGCGTGCCACAAGCTGTCCAGCAAGCGCCTCAAGCAACTTGCTGGCTCGGTGGTGAGTCGAAGTCGCGCATGGTGAATCGCCAGAAGGTAAGGGAATTGTGCCGTCGACATCGACAAGTGCGACAGACGCATTTGACCGAGTCACGGCAAAGGCGCTTCTCCTGCCAGGTGTGGTCGAACCGGCGGCGATGGAGCCATAACATAGGAAGTGGCGGTGTTCCGGGTGAAGGAGTGGCACAGATAGCTGTACGTCCATCAAAAGTAGTCCGGCCGAGCTGGAAGTGCGAGCCCTCGTTAGGCAGCGTGATACAGTGTGTTCGAGCCCAGTTAGCGACAAGATGCCGTCGGAGCACTCGACCTCAAAATCCCAGTCTACCTCTGCTTCCCACGCATCGATCTGTTTGGTGACTATGCGCCGCGCGGCATTGTATCGATCGTTTTTTGCCCCGTCGGGGACAAGGCGCGGGATCAGCAACGAGCCGGCGTCGGAGGCGAGCTCGGTTTCGGTCGACCACAGCATGGGCTGGCGATTCGGGGCGTCGATAAACTCTGGCTGGCCAGCCAGTGCGAGACGGATGAAAGCCTCGGCAATAACAGAGGTGTCGGCGTCATCAGGCGCCAGACGGATGTCCAGAAGCTGCAAGTTGATATCGCGCTGCTCGGCCCGCACAGCCCGCGCGATGCCGGCGAACATATTGGCCTGCGGGTTAGAGCCTCTGCAGCCCGCCGTCACCCACAGAACCGACCGGGCCCTCTGCAGAAAGGCTTGGAGGCGTTGTAGCCTCGCTGCCGTTACCAAGTTGTCGGGGCCGAACAGGGGTTGATCGAGCTCGATGAGGCTGATTGCCGACACACGCTCGTGCGGGCTCACGACGAGCTTGTCAACGCTGGACACTGTCTCGATGGTCGTGCTGGCCCACGGAGCGAGGGCGCTTCTCAAGTCTTGCGCCAGCCGGGCCACGACGGGCGTGTCACCTCCGATGATGAGCAGCTTGGCGACGTCGGGTAGGGCCGGGAGCGTGGCCAGGTGCGATAGCGGACTGCGCAGCAGGTCGACGCGGTCGTCGACTGCCTGCGTCACCAGCATGGACAGATAGTGGTTCTTGAGCACGGGGCTGTCCGACGTGGCGTGGTCGACCCCCGAGAAGCCGGTCCGCCGAAGTAGGTCGTCCCACTGCGCCGTCGGGATGCCGGGGGCCCACTTTCGGCCCTCGTCGCCGATCTGGGGGCCGAGCCACCAGCCCGACAGGACGCCCAGGATGAAGCCCAGACGCAGCAGATCGCCCGTGATCTCCATCATGACCAAGTACCCGCCCGGCTTTAGGAGACGGCGCACCTGGCGCATCGTGTCTTGCAAGTGCTGCGTCGCGTGCAGGACATTAGCCGCCACAATCACGTCGTAGGCGCCTTCGGAGAAACCCTGCGACATGACGTCCTTTTCGATATCCAGCACCTGGAACGTCATGCTGTGCCGCCGGACATGGTCCGAGAACCTGTCGGCCGCCCGCTCGAAGAAGCCCGGCGACACGTCTGTAAAGGTATAGTGGCCGTAGGCATTGCCGACGGTCCGCAGCACCTTCCGCGTCGTGCCCCCGGTGCCCGCGCCGACTTCGAGGATGTTGGCCCGCGGGTAGCGATGGACAATCTGGCCGACGGCGCGAGCGATGTGGTCGTTCATCGGGCCGAGTCCGTGGCCGTCGACGTAGAAGCGCGTGAGCATGTTGTCCTCCATCATGATCTCCAGCGGCTGCTTCTCGCCGCGTATGATGGACACCAGGTTCTCGCCCACCGCTCGCATTAGCTCTATGTCGATGTGGTCCTTGAGCCTATCTGCGTGCTGCCACACGGCCTCTTTCGTATCGTCTAGCCACTCGCTCTTGACCGTCGGTTGGTGTCCTTCGCGGACCAAGTCGATCCAGTGCTGCGCCGACTGCACGAACATGCGGTGGTGCCATGTCGCCGCCGTGACCTCGTAGGGCGACAGTTCCTCCAGCAGCGTGCGATAGTAGAACAGCGCCGTCCGGCCCATGGCATCGACGAGATGACCGTGGTCACCGTCGCCTTGCTCGGATGCTCCTTTGTCGAGCACGCTCCTGTCAATGCCCGTCGATATGTCGCTATCCCACTTGACGTGGGAGAAAAGCACGCAGTCGCCATCGGCAGAGCTTGCCTGATTAGCCATGGTTCGCATCGTCACGCCCTCGATCTGCACGGCGACACGGCCCGAGTCGCCAAATACAACCTGCACATCACCCTCAAATCCCTTGGGCGACGACGCCGTCACCTGGGCCGAGATGCTAGCAGCAATGCGGGTGCGGCCGGCTAGTGGGGATTGTGATGACGAAGGAAAAGGAAAAGACGAAGAAGTAGAATTTGATAAAGATGATGCCGGTGTAGCACACGCACTGGGACAGTCACGCACCGCGATGCTCGCACGGCGGATGGCAACAGGAAGATAAGGCGTCCACATCTGCTCTGTGGCAGGCGATGCAAAGGCGGCGAACAAGGCGTGAAGCGCAACGTCTAGGACGGCCGGGTGGACTGAGGATGCCTCAGAGCTGTTGCCGATGTCCATGTCGCCGTCCGCCTCATCCCACGACGCCGACGTGGAGGCGTACCTAAGCGACCGCTGCGCCGACTTGGTCCCGCGGAAGAGCCCGCTAAAGGCCAACCCGACCTTCTTCAGGGACGAGTAGAAGAGGTCGACGTCGACGGGGCCGAGGTTGGGCGGCGGTTGGCTCGGCGACGGCAGCAGCGCTTCTTCTCGGTTCGCATCGTCCTCGCCCTCGCCCTCGCCCTCGCCCAGGTGTACCTCGACACGGCCGCTGCAGGTCACGTCTGGCGCCGCGTCCGAGTCCGACTGTGCGGCCGAGAAGGAAAACTCGGCCGAGAGCAGATGCTGTCCCTTGCGAACAAGACGCAGGTCGGTCGTAAAGTCGCAAGAGGAGTTTTCTCGCAGGACGACGGCCCTGTGCAGCACGACATCGCACAAGTCGACCAGCGTGACGGGTGACGCGCCTGCGAGCGCCGTGGCGGCTGCGATGATGGCCGAGAGGTAGGACGTGCCGGGAAGCACAACCTGTCCCTGGAATACGTGGCCTTTGACCCAGGGCATCTCGTCCAGGCGCAGCACGTTGCGCCAGCGCAGTTGGCTTGGCGTGTTGTCGGGCGCTCTGCGGCCCAGCAGGCCGTGAGAAGGCCGGTCGGCCAGGCGGAAGTTGCGCGAGAGCCGAGACTCTCGCCAGTGCACCTTGGCGTGGTCCCAGCGGTAGGCCGGCAGGCCCTTGGCCAGCCGGGGAGGTCTGGTTTCGGCTTCGGCGCCTTCACAGCCCGCATTAAAGGCCCAGCAATAGCCACTAAAGTCGACCGGAGCCGCAGATCCGAGGTGTTCCCAGAGATAGCCGAGTCCGCCGGAGAAAGCCTCGACCTCGTCGTGGCCGCGCTGCATGACGCCGACGTACGGCAGGGGGGCGCCCAAAGATGCTTTGAAGATCTGTGTGGCGGGGCTTTTCAGCGCAGAGTGCGGTCCGACTTCGAGGACGGCGTCAAAGGGCCCGGCACGCCACAGGGCGCACTCGACCGCGGGACCGAAGAGCACCGGGTTGGTGAGGTTGTCGACCCAGTACTGGTCTCGCACTGCTTCCAAGCCGCTGCCTTCGTCGCCGTCGTCGTCGTCCTCGGCGAGAACCGAGTCTACATCGCCACGCACGCTCGACACCCATACGCAGCCGTCGGCGGGCTGCTGGACCTGGATCTCGCACGACCGCAACGAGGCGAGGTACGCGGGTGCGCAGGGCTGCATGTGGCGCGAGTGGTACGCCATGTCGACCTTGAGCTTCCTGGCGAACGTACCCTCGGCTGTCAGGTGCGCCTCGACCTGGTCGATGACGTCGACGTCTCCGGAGAGCGTGACACTGGTGGGAGAGTTGTCAGCCGCGACACTGATGCGCCCGTCGTACTCGGGTCTGGCACAGAGCCCGCATGCATCGTCCCAGGACAGGCTGGCAGCTAGCATGCCGCCGCCGCCGCTGCCGCTGCCGGCCAGCCTGGTGTGCAGACCGCGGTAGTAGGCGATGCGGATGGCGTCGCTGGCACGCGGCAGGATGCCGGCGGCGTACGCGGCGGCGATCTCGCCAGACGAGTGGCCGACCACGGCCCGGAAACGGACCCCGCTGGCTCGCAGCAGGTCAACGAGGCCGATCTGGACGGCGGTGCAGAGAGGCTGTGAGAGGGCAGCCTCTGCGACGCGCGATTCTGCCGCGTCGGCGATGAGTTCCTCCGTCAAAGACCATTTTGGCGCGTCTGCGCCTAGCGCGGCGAGCGACTTCTCGCATCGCTCGATGGACTCGCGGAAGAGCCGGCAGTGGAGAATGAGGTTGCGGCCCATTGATGCCCACTGCGCGCCTTGGCCCGTGAAGATGCCCAGCAGGGCGGGGGCTTCGTCCGGGCCGTGGTCACCGGGCCGAGAGGGCCGAGGCGGGGCCTCATTCTGATTCTCCAGAGCAGTGGCTGTGTCCGCAACGAATGCGTCCATGTAGGAAAGCAGCTTCTGACGGGTGGCGCCTGAGAAGGCGGCACGGCTGTTGTTAAAGTGAGTACGCCGGGACTGCAAAGTCCAGGCCAGGTCGCCGAGGTCAAGCACTTTGTTGCTCCGCACCTCCTCGGCGTGGGCTTGCACCACCCGCACCAAGCAGTCTCGCGAGTGGGCAGAGAAAACCAGCGGTCCGACAAAGCGCTCGTCGTCAGAATGCTCCTCGCGAGTAAACTGCTGCTGCTCGCCGTCTACGTAGCTTTCGAGAATGACATGGGCATTGGTGCCGCCGAAGCCGAAACTGTTGACACTTACACGCAGAGGCGAACCTGACTTCGTCTCTGGCCACGGCCGCGCCTGGCCGGTGGGGATCTCCAGACGTTCGTAGAAGGGATTAATGGCCGGGTTGAGCTCGGAAAACAGCATGTTGGGCGGAACCGTCCGGTTCTGGATGGCAAGCGATGCCTTCAGCACACCCGCCAGCCCGGCGCAACCCTCGAGATGGCCGACGACTGTCTTGATCGAGCCCACCAAAAGCTTGCCAGGAGGCACTTCCGAGTTGTCGCCGTCGTCGTCGCTATCTCGGGTCGGGAAGAATGCGTCTCGGATCGCCTGCGCTTCAACAGGGTCTCCGGCCTGGGTGCCCGTTCCGTGGGCTTCGAAAAATTGGCAGCGGTCGCGCCGGGCGTCCAGGCCAGCATCTCGGTATGCTTGCCCGATCAGGGCTGTCTGGGCGGCGGCGCTTGGCACCGTTATGGCGCCCTTGCCGCGCCCGTCCGAGTTCACGGCCGTGCCCCGGATGACACACTCGATGTGGTTGCCATCGCGGACCGCGTCGCCAAGTCGCTGCAGCACAATGGCCGCGAAGCCCTCGCCTCGGGCATACCCATTCGCGCCCTTGTCCCACATGCGGGAACGCGAGTCTGGCGAGAGCATGTGCAACTTGGACTCGGCCACGTACATGGTCGGATCGAGAATGAGATTGACTCCTGCTACAATGGCCATGTCGCTCTCGCCGCTCCTCAGGCTCTGAACGGCCTGATGCAGCGCCACCAGGGAGCTGGAACAAGCCGTGTCGATTGTCATCGACGCTGCCCTGGCGTCCAGAAAATACGAGATGCGGTTAGATAGAATACTTCGGTGTGTGCCGGTGGCGTGCTGCGCTGGCAACGTATCGAGGTCCCGGGCCTGGACGTCAGCAAAATCGCCATTCATCAGCCCGGCCCACACCGAGGTGAGTGATCCCTGCAGCTGATCGAGGGGCAAACCGGCCGACTCCAAGGCCTCGTAGACCGTTTCCAGAAGAATACGTTGCTGTGGATCCATGGCCGCCGCCTCGGCAGGGCTGATGCGGAAGAAAGAGGCGTCAAACAGGCGGATGTCTTCCGACAGCAGATAGCCCTTGTTCTGGACGTCAGTGCTGCCGTGATGCTCGCCATTCTGATGGTAAAAGCTCTGCAGATTCAGCCTGTCCTTTGAGAATGTACATAGGACGTCTCTCGGCTGCCTCAGCAACTCCCACAATTTCGCTGGGGAGTCTGCCTTGCCTGGAAAACGGCATGCAGACCCAATGATGCCCACCGGTCCTGCCATATTGGTGCTTGTACTAAAAATGGGGTGAATGTTTGGCGGATGGGGAAAAAATAAAATCGTTAAAGTGGCCAAGCATTCAGTGAAATTAAGGTTTTTAACTCTTGAGTACGTATTAAGGGCAACTTTCTCAATGGGAATCTCTTGATAATTTGAATCAAAATTCCACGTTGATACATGATGACCCATTTCTGCCCCGTCTCACGTTATCTCCGTCCTCACTATGTACTTGCGCTCTTGGCTAGCATAAACACATATCAACCAAGTCGCCAATTTATGCCCAGTCCCACACGAAATAGGAAGTCCGGTAATTCTGCAACACTAGTTACTGGTCGCAAATTATCTTTGGCCGATTGTCAAATACACAATCTCCGTTTCGTCCCCGCTCCGTACCCCGCTCCGGGCTCCGGTCCGGGCTCCGCCCCGTACCGCCCTTGATCTGGAGGATTAATCATACAGAATCCTTTCATTATATTCTCTCGGGGAATAAATTCTGGAACGGAGATTGGAACAGAGACCTTTCCGCATGCTAAGACAGGGTGTTTTTTTCTTTTCTTTCTTGACTAACAGCGACGCACAAAGAACTTGAGCAAACCACTCCATTTAAGCGTCCCATCTGGTGTTTGGCCTCAACTTCTTCTGCCTTACACCCAGCTACTCAATGCAGCTTGAAGGATTGCCAGGCTGAACCCCAACACTACTTACCCAATCATCACTATTCAGAAATCAAGTTCAGGCTCAGGCCCGGCTTCTTCGATATGACGGAGACGGCGTCATTGCCAACCACCCAGAAAGCTCTCAAAGTCCACGGGCCGGGTGATTTGCGCCTTCAACACGACTGCCTCGTGCCGATCTTGCAAGACGACGAGATCCTCGTGCGGGTGAGATGCGTAGCCATCAACCCGGTCGACGCAAAGGTGCTCGACATGGGCCCTATCGTCGGCGCCACCCTGGGATGCGAGTTCTCGGGCGATGTGGCACGGGTGGGCTCGTTGGTCGAGAACAAGCGGGTGGTGGTGGGAGCCGCCGTGTTTGGCTGCGTGTACGGCAACCACCCGGGGCAGCCGGATAACGGCGCCTTCGCCGAGTTCGTTGCGGTGGCCGGGGACCTCGTCTACCTGCTGCCCCGCCACATGACTTATCAGGAGGGTGCCACCCTGGGAGTATCCTTACCGACCGTGGGCATGTCGACTTACTACCCTTGGAAGTTCCCGCCGCCGCCGCTGCCGCTGTCGTCTTCGACTCCGGACACTGACGCTGACGCTGATGCCCAGTACGTGCTCGTGTACGGCGGCAGCACGGCAATGGGTGCCGCGGCGCTGCAGCTGCTCCGCATGTCGGGGCTGCTTCCGGTGTGCACCTGTTCCCCGCACAACTTCGCCATGGTGAAGGCTCTGGGTGCCGTCGAGGCGTTCGACTATCACGAGCCCACCTGCGGAGATAGCATCCGCGAGTACACGGCTGGCACGCTTGCCTACGCGCTCGACTGCATCACCGACTTGGCGTCAATGAGGATCTGCTACACGGCCTTGGGGGGCGGCGGCGGCCGATACATGGGGCTGGACCCCCTGCCTCTCCGCGCCCACACGCGCCGCGACGTCAAGCCCGAATGGACCCTCACCTTCACCATGTTCAACAAGCCGCTCGATCTGGGCAGGCCCTTCTCGCGTCCGGCAAGGCCCAAGGACAGAGCCTTCGCCAAGGGCTGGTTTGGAGCCACGCAGCCGCTGATCGACACACCTGGCCGGGTTCGACCTCACCCCCTTGACCTGAGTTCTGGCGGGTTGCAAGACGTGATCAAAGGTCTGGATCGTATGCGCAGGGGTGACGTGAGCGGGGTCAAGCTGGTCTACTCACTGATGTGAGTAATGTGTGTGTGTGTGGGGGGGGGGGGGGGGGGGGCACGATGACAAGGTTGCGTTTTCCATACACAAGTCCCTATCTTGATGGATGGGTTATGAAACCTCCCCAACATACATAGGTCCCTATACAGAACCTTGGCCAGCACGACAACCTGCGTCAGCTGTTGGTGCAGGTCGGCGCGTTTTAACTGCTTCATTTGTCAATCACATCAGAGCTGCTCCTGAAGCATAGAACTCTTTTAGCTGCTGAGGTAGTACTATGAGCGGGACGCACGGGGTTCCAAGTTGTATAAAAAGTACGTGAGCGGCGCAGCGACATCAACCCCTCTAAGACGGGTTCTGAGGGCGATAACGTCGCGTTCGCATCGCTTAATCAGTTCGCCCAGCCAGCAATAAAGGCTGATCAAATAGTAAGGTATGTAGGTATGTAGGTCAGTATTTATTATGTTTCTCGGAATCTTTTTATTTCATCGTCTGAAGTGCAGCGCGAGAGGTCCTTCTTGTTGACGGACCGGCCCTTACCACCTTAACCGTCGGGGCAAGATTGTATGCGATCGCAAAGCACCCTGTGCCCAATGTGTCCAGGCTCACTTGGAGTGCACCTACTACCGCAACTATGCCTTCAGCGACTTCCAAATCAACAGTCACAACAGCACCAACCCGCAGCCTTGTCCAAGCTCGTCGGCGTCAAGCACACAAGCCACACACCAAACTTACGGCTTGGGACCGCCACCGCCGTCGTCAAAGTCGTTATTAGCCCACGTCGACTACCAGAAGCACTTCTCTGTTGCTGACTAAAACATTGCATCAGCGGTCCCAACCGCCGTCTCTATGGACATAAGTGCCCTAAGCTGGTTTGAGACGGAGGTTCTTGGTGCATTTGACTAGTCGTTAGGCACAGCTATAGACACTAGGGCGATAACGCTCTTCCCTAATACTATATCTAGCTTGTTGCATAGCAGCCTAAAAGCATAGCAGCTAGGCCACCTAAGGAAAACCTTTACGCAGAGCTCTATCTAGCACGCCTTATTAAGATTGCTGCCTGTCTAGCTTTACATTGCAAAGGTCCTAAGCTAGTTCTAAGGTAAGCCTTCTTATGATACGGCCCTGTACATAGGAGCTAAGCTTACGGCGGCCTGCCATAAGACCTCTAAGCTAATTAATTTATTCTTGTTGTTGCTGCTAAATGCCGACGGCCTGCAGCCTAGATCGTTCTACATCAAGATACAGGACCTTCTGACAAGGCGATACCTCCTGCTGCTGTATAACCAGTTTGTGCACAAGGCCACTAGCAACATTGCCTACTACTTCTTGCAAACCGTGTGCAAGGAGTGCTCCCTGCTTCTGCTGCTCTTACCTCCGTTGTTGCCTAAATCAGTGGCGGCGAGCCGGCCAGGAGTAGTAGTCGCGAAAACAGTGCCTCTGCCACTGCTGACGATGATACTGACACCGACACAGACGCAGGCGCGGCGGCGGCGGCGGCGTGGTCTTCACTGCAGGACTTTTCAAGCCTGCAGTTATTCAGCGGCGGCGCCGTGTCTAAGAACACATTACTGGTTGCATCCCTCACCGTGTGCGCCGAGGTGCTGCAGCAGCTGCGCGAGGACTCGTCGCCGGCGGCCTCGTCGTCGTTGTGGCGGCGCGAGCTGCTGCAGGCCCTCAAGCAAACCACGAACCTGGCGCGGCGCCGCGTGCGAGCGGGCGAGACGAGCGTCAAGGTCGCCGTCTTCTCCGCCTGCATGCACGCGTGCATTAGTGTTCGCCGCACCCCGCAGCAGCAGCAGCAGCAGCAGGGGCTAGGGCAGCGGCAGGAGGCCGTTGTTATCGCCGACACGGTCCGCGTCGTGCTCGCGGAATGCTGTGCCGTCCTCGAGAGGCGCCTGCGGGCATTGCGCGGGCCAATCGGGGCCGCCTCCAGCATCGAGCGACAGCTGAGAGACAGCGGCCCGTAGCTCGACGGCTCGGATATATGGCACACTTGCCTTGGGAGGATGATGCCGGCTTTTTCGGGGGTTAAGAAGCAGCACCTATGGTTTCAAGGACATTGATACCGGGAATTACGAATAAGACGGGCGTGAGAGGTTCATCGGGATGGCTTGCGGCGAGCCCCGCAACCGTTGAGACGTGCGGGAGACAGATTAACTACATGCTACCCCGGTCCACATGTAGCGCAGCGGATGGTGCGCCGACGGAGATAGTAACTGCTGCCTGGCTGTACTTTGTGCCCTTCCCCGATATCCTTGTTTAGCTCCCCGAGCTAGGGTTCCAATTACTGCATAGTATTTGGCTCGCCCTTTAACTCCGTTCCAGTGACAACCGCCGCCTAGCTGCTAGGTCTGTTCCAATGGAAGAAAGCTGTCTTATAATAGCCAGGTGCAATGGAGCGAGGGCCTTTGTTGGAGCATATCCAGCACTGCATGCACACTGCCATTTGTTCTGCCCGTCCTTGTTTGAAGCGATATCGGCTGCGAGATGGAGTCTCTGCGCAGCTTGGACTTCAACCTTGACCTCGTGGTGCCGGACGCTGCACCCAGGTTGCAATACGTCGTCTGTTTCGTCCTAGTTGGCCTCATCACCAAATCGATGACCTCCTACCTGTGGAGGTCTTTCCAAGAGCAGCGGAAGGGCTATGGGGCCATCCCGCGCTACCCGCAGCTAGATCCCTTCTTGGGCCTGGACGTGGTCTTCGCGATGGTCTCGTCCCTGAAGAAACACACCTACCTGATGTGGCTCCGCAACCTGCACGTCGCAGGCAAGGCCAAGACGGTCACCTACAACTTCTTTGGCACGAGGTTCATCCACACTACTGAGCCGGAGAACATGAAGGCCATATTTGCCACGCCGGTCTGGAAACACTTTGGCGTCGCCCCCCTGCGACGTAACAACCGCGCGACCATGCCTTTTGCCGACAGGGGCGTTGGCACGGTTGACGGCCACGAGTGGGAGTTTAGCAAATCACTGATCAAACCAGGCTTCGCTCGCGAGGCCGTCATCGACACGCAGCGTCTGGAGGAGCACACGGATAACCTCCTAAGCCTCATTTCCGAGGATGGGTCTACCTTTGACATGCAGATGTTGTTGCAAAGATGGGTTATTCTCCCCCCCTCTCCCACATCTTTCTCTCTCTCTCGCGCGCCAAACGCCACGCCTGCTCTGTTCTAACCAAGCCAATTCGCAGTTTCTGGATACGTCCACCCACTTCATGTTCGGCGAGCCCATCGGTTGCCTCCTGCATCCCAAACGCGCCAACGTGGCATGGGCCATGACGGAGGTCCTGCGCGGCTTGCGCTTCCGCCTGATGATGGTCAGGTGGCTCTGGCTTTTCCGGCACAAGGCGTGGTTCGATGCCATCGACGTCGTGCACGCCTACGTCAACCGCCTCATCGATAACGCGTACGCAGACTTGGCCCAGCAGCAGCAGCGGCGGCGCCAGCAGGCGGTAGCGGCAGACGGCACCAACGGCGGAAATAGGTCGACGGTCGCCACCGAGGAGACGCCTGAGAGGACGGATCTGCTGTGGTCCATGATCCCCCACTTTGGCGAGGACAAGGAACGGCTCCGGTCCGAGATGCTGGTCCTGTTCGCGCCCAACAACGACACAACTGCCATCCTCATCAGCAACGTCTTTTGGAACCTTGCTCGCCGCCCCGACGTCTACGCAAAAGTCCGGGAGGAGGTACTATCACACGGCCCGGACGCACAGCTCACCTATGAGCGCCTGAGGTCCATGAAATATCTCGACGCGGTGCTGAACGAGAGTAAGTTGTTTCTCCAATGATTCCTTACAACGAAATGTGGACAGAACAATGCCAGAGAAAGCTCAATATGTTAACCCGGGGCAGCGCACCGGCTATATCCTGTCAACCTCACGCAGACGCGAACATGCCTCAAGGACAGCACGCTCCCAGTGGGCGGCGGCAAGGACAGGAAGCTGCCGATTTACATCAAGAAGGGCGATATTGTGCGGGTCGACAAGGTGACCATGTTCCGGGACAAGGACCTGTGGGGTGAGGACGCCGACGAGTTCAGGCCGGAACGCTGGTCTGGAGTGTCTCCGTCCTGGCGCTTTATGCCCTTCGGAGGCGGTCCCAGACGCTGCCCCGCGCAGACCATGGCCACCGTCGAGGCGAGCTACTGCGTTGCGAGGTTTGCTCGCCGCTTCAAGGCCCTTGAGAATCGGGATGCCAACCCCTCATACGTGCCAATCATTCGGGTCAGCCCAGTCCACAAGAATGGTGTTCAGATTAGCGCTGTAAGGGCTTAACTAGCTATTAGCACCCTCTAGGCTCTGTGTTGAGTTGCGTTTTGACTGGGCACATGATTCATGATTCAATAGCAGATCTGGAACCTTACGTAGTCACTTGAATAATTGAAGCAGTGAGCGATCACATCTCTGCTACAGAAACCTACCCATTCTCGAACCTTGCAATCCCGGTCGTCTATGGTGCTTTGAAGCTCCACCCCAGCCGGTCGAGGGTCTCATCTGGCATAATTTTAGTGCTTGAAGCTGTTGGTTATCAGAACTACGTCCTTCGACGATACCACAGTGCCCTTTTCCATCTCTTGTTGGTCTTGTTGGTGATATAGTGCATCCCGTCGTACTAGATGCTGGTTGTCAAAGTGATCGTTTCTGACTGTCGGCCGACAGTACTTGAACGTTCGTTCTTCTAGAGGGAGCCTCTCGTCGCCGACGCAATTAGGACACTGATTCGGATCGAGGAGTAGTGGGAAAGGCTTGGGTTGAGGACGGGTGCGGATGCGGTTGCGCCTGACCGTCTCTCTCTTCTCACAAAGTGCGACCATCAGATCGATAGCCTCAATCCAAAGCTCCATTAGTTTGTCGTGAGAGCAGTCAGCTGGTTGGTTGCCCAGGATGTGGGCCAGTCTGGCGCGCTCGGGGATCTGGAGGTTGATTTCTGGTTCGGCATACTCCTCCTCTTGGTCATTTGCTTGCCTCTCGATATCCTACGTTGGGTTTGGTACAAGATACCGGCCGTCTGGAATCAAAAAGGGAGGCTACTTATAGGTTCCTGGGACTGCTGTGCCGCTGGCGCGACTGACATGACCGCTTAACCCGCGGACAAGGAGGGAAAAGATGCCCGTCATTGCCAACTTTTCCTGCGAGGAGCTGATTACTGTCACGCCATTCCTAGAGGATGGACCTGCCCAGCGACAACGGTACTTATTATACCCACCAAAAAGGATCAAGCTGACGGGGCCACAAAGTGTGTGTCATCCACGTTAAGCTTCTCGCTGATGCGGTAGTCTTTGCTGACTTGGAGCATTGTCTTTCTCCTGTAAGTCGCTAGAGAGCTTTGAATGTAGCTCGCGAACAGAAGAGCAGAGACGCGACCTCGTTCCTCCAGATCCATCCTCCCGTTGAATTACCGGCCTCAGTACAGTGCAATTTCTTCCTTCCCAAGTCCAACTTTTGGGTAATCAGCACTCACTCAGAGTGCAGTCAAGCTTACGTTGAGTATCAGTTGTTTGCATTGGGGCTGTGAAATAGGCAGCAGGTGAGGCCTCCAAACTCCTGGGGCTCAGATTACTGTAAGATCGAAGTCAGAGTCTGTACCCCTCTCGCTTCGCCTTCCTTGCCCCCTATGCTGTTCTATTCCCTTCTCTTCCAGCTTTGAAGCGCAGTGCAGGAGAAGGAAAGTGTCAGAACCTGGAACTGTACCGTTGAGCCATGTGTACAAAAGAGAGGACCCCTCATTTGTATGAGGCTATTCTGAGTACTTATGTAGTTCCGTCAGAAAGCCAATATTGGCTTAGGTTTTGCGGCGGACAAGCGTCAGCCGGCCGATGCAAAGGTTCCTTTCCAGCGGCTGACCCCTACTTTGCGGTGGTACAGCTTCCACCGAAGCCGGAAATGGAGCCGTCGGGTATAGGCCCTTTAGTAACAGCAGCGCAGCCCAATTTGGGCCCGTCTCTCGGAGCCCATGCGTTACGTAATCACAGCGGCTAGAACAAGCTGCATAAGGTTCCTGTCTCACAGTGATGCAGCAAGGATATGCGACCTATGAGCCAGAAGCCACCAAAGCTGTTAATGAGTTTTATCAGGAGGCAAAGACACTGTGGAAGAAAGAGAGGGACTTCGGGATAGACCATATCTGCACCGCGGTTGCCTTGCTTTACCTGGCCATTACTGCAGTCTCTCTTGAGGCTGGGGCGGAGTATGTTGCCCTCCTCGGTGATTGTCTGGAGATGAGTTCCAGGCTTGGACTCTTCAACGCAAACTCTTTCGAGGCGCCAAGATCCACGAGTTCCGAGAGCCCTGACTGGCAACGAGCTGTGTCCCAGATTGCCTGGGCACTCTTCAACACTGTGACGTATGTTGAATTCTGAGCTTGGCTGAGAGGCCAGAATTTACTTTTTATGCGCCCCGCAGTCAAATGTCTCACTAACAGGTCAACCAGACTTCTCTCTATGCATGTTCACAGGCTTTTATTGAGCACTCGCCCTGCTTTCCCATCCCGGACAACGTGAGAATCTTATCCACTGGCAGTAGTGTCGGATCTAAGGATATCAAGAGGAGGGGCTACTTTTCAGCTTTGTTCAGGGAGAACTGCAAGCTCTTTTTAAATAATTCACGACATGCTGCAAGTCACATATGGTCCGAAGCAGAACCCACACACCAATGCCATCTCTCCGCCCTTCGCTGAAGCAACCTACAGACGGCTTCTGTCGTGGGCTGACGGCTTGCCGCTCGAGATGGCGCGAGGCGACCAGTGTACCCATCATGCGATGATTCTACAGCAAGCCATTCTCACTACTACAGACATATTGAAGTGATGGCTGATCGAATGCTAATAAGCATCTGTTATCACTTAACCATTCTTGACTTGTTCCGCCCGCTTACTCGACGGCAGAAGGCATCTCAAATATGCCTTCATTCTTTCAACTCCAAGGAAGCATCGCCAGACGCTGTGTATGCAGCGTCTGTGAATCAAATAAAGCGGATCGTTCTCTCCTACCGACAGACCTGTCCAGAGTACTCGTTCTGTCTCCTCTGGCATTCGGCACTTCTATACATGGCTAACGATATGCTCCGTGAGGCGAGTGTCTCAGGGAGAAACCCGGAGTGGCATTTCTACTTCCGCCTTTGCTTAGCGAGCTACCAAACGCTCTACAGCGGTTTCCGCGTAGCCAAAGGCATCGTGTTTAGTCTGCTCTCAATGGCCATCGAGAGGGGCGTCATAGACCTCCGGGCAGCGAATGCGATCAGAAAGGACTTCGAGCTAAGGGGCATGCACCACGATATGTCGGATCGAGTACCAGAGTACTTGATGGTGGATTTAGACTTGGCTATGACAGACCCATCTGCAGCCCAGGCGGAGACGTTGGTGCAAAAGTTCCACAAGCTACAACTGCATAAGACTAACGACAGCAAAAGAATCGTTACAACTGGTTGATCGTCGTTTTCGATGGGTCTTCAACCCTATTTCCGAAAGCGTTAATGTTTGATTATACTTTAATTCCAACTTGGCACTTTGTAAAGACAACATAACACTGGCCTCGTAGTTGATTTTGTTGCCTCACGATCAGGGAATGCTTGATTAAGTAGCTGCAATCAATTGAGAGAATGACTGCTTTGCGGTATATGCCCAGGATTGAGAGATTAGATGACCTTGCGTACGGACCACATGAACCAGATGGGGTTCGTCGAGTCGGTGAAGACAGCCACCTTCATGAGGATTACCGAGATCATCTTGTTGAAGTGTTAAAAGGATAGCTTATCGTGGACGGTTACAGAGAATGGGACAAGAGTGTTCGCTCACTACAGAGATTTCCATACTGAACAGGCACATAATTACGTAGCAGTTTCCTGGAGAAGAACGAACACTTGCATCCGGTCCAAGAATAAGTAGTCACGGCGAGATTTGTCTCACTTCATATGCTGAGCGCGAAGGAAGTTACATCCGTACACTCTAAACTTCATGTTGAGTCTGCCAATGAGCGTAACCGGGATGAGTAAGAGGACAAGGTCCGTCGAGGGATGTAAAGTCATTTGCATGGTGTTGGGAGCAAATAACAAGAGGGATGATACTTAAACAAAGAAAAAGACAGCAAAATTTGGATCGACAAGGCAACAGTAAACTTATCTAACACTATTCTCTAGTAAATTCAGTAATACTACAATTCTTCTTTGCAGTTCTTCGTACATTCCCCTTCCAGAACTCTGTCGTCTCATAGTTAAAAAAACACATCTCTCATCTTAACTTATTCAGCTTGGTAGAGAAGTGTACTTGCAGCGTCCCAAGAGACCGACCGGGAAAGGAACCCGAAAAACGGCTGTGGATGTCCTTCCACGGAAGGGCCTCGCCCTTCAGTTGAACCAAAAGTTGATCCTCATCTTCTGAAAAGGGGGTTCTAGATGTGGGAGATCGCCTTGGAGGTATAGGCCTTTTTGACTCAGAACTCGAGGATCGACTTATTGAGCACAGGCCCCCGCTAACAGCTTCAGATCAGTTACAACACGGCAAGCTTCTAGCTCATATTTGTCAGAAGATATCAGGCAAAAGAACAGGCACCGAAATATGTAAGAAACAGACAGACAGGGACCTTAATAATAAGAGCAATAATAAGAGAGACAAGAGCTAGCCGTGTGATTTTAATAATGTTTTACTTCATAGCTTTTAGACAGCAGGATTCAACCCTAATTGCCTGTCTCCAGGCACCCCATGCGTGACTGACAAACGCAAGAGAGGTCTGTTTAAGGGCTTGCACAGGGACCATAACAAGCCCCTATTAAATCATGTTAAAAACGCCTCATGCTGTTGCATATGTTAATCCTATTAACACAATGTTACTAACTAACCAGAGATAAAGTGCGTTACAGATTACTAACTTAATAAAGGTCAGGATACTAGGACGAAGCAAGATTAGAAGCACGTTAGCACTAGCCTTTGTTATACTCCACTCCTCGCGGTTATCTCTATCCTTCTGATATGGTCCAATATTACCCTCGTATCTGATTAGGAATTGAGACTCTTCATTGGATGCGGTTTGTATCAACAAAGGATATCAAGTATCTTTTCCAAACCCTGCGCGTCGCCTGCCAGCGTCCCGGCCTTCTCCTTGTCAACCCATCCAGGGGTGTAACTGCCCCCAAAGTCGATGATCCAGGCATTGTCGTCACTGTCGATGAGAACATTCTCGGCTTTAACATCGCCCCAGATGATGCCCTTCTGGTGCAGCTTCTCTAGAGATGTGCTGATCTGTGTCTTCCAACGTTTCCTCAGATCGGGTGAACTCTGGTCAGCTCTTGCTTTTGACAGCACTCCCTTCGTGTCGATCCAAACAAAGAGCATGCCCATTAACTTGTCTCCGTCTCGAACAACTCCGTGTAGGCGGCAGATCCATGCTTCGGGGGGAGGAGGTATTTGCGCCATGACGATTGCTTTCAACGTTGTGAGCTCCTTCTTCGCATGCGCTGGGCCAAATGAGAGCCCAAAACGTTTGAAGTAACATTTGACCTGACTACCATTTCCACTGTCAACAAGGACCTTGGTTGGTCGTTTGATTAAGATGTCTTCAGAGCGATTGTACATTATCTCGACATCCGATGGATGGTAAGACTTGGCCCACTGGTCGAGGTCTGTAAGGATGTCGTCCTTTACAACCACAACCGGGCTGGACCAGCCATGGTTCTGTGTCTGCACTTGGTATGGTCGCAGGACTTCGTCGGCAGCCTCTAAACCGCAAACGAAATACGGTGGGAACAGATACTGGGAGAGTCTCGGCCGTCCATTGTCGGTAACAGCTAAGGATGATGGCGACAACTGAGCGATGAGAGGCTCGAACGGCTTTGACAGCCAGTTGTAAGCATCCTCTATATAAAAATCGTCCTGCTCTTCTTCTCCTGACCGTAGTAGGTGTAGGCATTTGAAGTACTGGTCCGTGAGCTTGGGTGATCGATGAAAATGCGACGGAGAGACTGTGCAATAGAAGGCTCGTCCGTTATTGGTTCGTATGATGAGGTCGCAGTCGTCTTCAGTTTCGTGTACCTGCCATCGAGCAATATCGTAGAGTGGCAGATTCTCCATGCCGACTGTTGTGGTAGATGGCGATGAATCGAAACGCAAATAGGTGAATCCGGCTGCGTTTTTAGACCGTGAAGGAGATCTTGGTTGAAATTCGTAAGTTCTCCGCTGCGCGCACCCCAACAAAAGTGCTGTTAGCAGATGTGGTCCGTGCTCTAAACTTTTTTTGTTGGCAGGCACTCATAATTGGCTAGTGATCGGGCGGTAGTGCCCACGACTTGATGTTCGTCACAATGGTCCACCAATGAAGGCCTAGCAATCGCACTGGTCCCAGGCGTCTCGCCTGGCCTAATTGTGACAGCCATTTTGCCGCGATACACCATATGACGATTTCTTAGCTTTTTGTTAGCAGGCACTCATAATTGGCTAGTGATCGGGCGGTAGTGCCCACGACTTGATGTTCGTCACAATGGTCCACCAATGAAGGCCTGCCTAGCAATTGCACTGGTTCCAGGCGTCTCGCCTGGCCTAACTGTGACAGCCATTTTGCCGCGATCTCCCGGCTTCTGTCCGGTTTCAAGACCCGTACATAGGACTATGATCTGCCCAGCTCCTGTGTATATGACACTGTCATTCCCGAGACACAAGTTATAATGACCCACGCTATCCAGCAAGTCTATCCAATCATCCGAACTCGCATCCGAACATCTATATACCACTGAAATGTGTCGAGCATGGAAATACACTTTCTCATGTGGGCACCAAGACGGAGAAAAGTGGTACGAACCTGAGAACGCTGAAGATTGCCCAGATGCCGTGCGCGCCAACCGTCGGCACAGACAATATGGGACTCTGTTGCGTTGCAGTCCCCTTGCAACCGCCAGCGTGTCAGCCCAGGGCATTTGTGAACGGGATAAGTGCTACGCCAAGGAGTACCTCATACCCTACGGGTGGTGGTGTCACCATTGCGGCATGATGAACGCAGCCGGGAAAAAGCACTGTGCGAATCCTCAGGCCGGTCACAGTCGAACGCCATGTCGGCATGAGCCTTGTCGGAATTGCCAAACCAATGACCCTGCCGAAACACAGTATTCCTGAGCAGACCGTCTTGAGAGAATTACATCTCGTCTTCCTACGATTTTCAGCATCGGCACGTGGGGATCAAGGCCTGGAGGGTGCGATGTGTGTGCGAGGACGTCGCCTGCATCATCGACGTAGAAAGACTACGAAGCGCCTAGCTTCTTGCACGCACACAAACAGAACAACCAGGATACAATTTTAGTCACTGAACACATCAAGAATAACCCCACAATACAATATTGTACCTCTTTCGCGGTCGCCTGTGATACCAACAGCCAGACCGGGGGCAGAACGGGAGGTGCGGAAGATTTGGGGATGCAGTCCTGTCGATTTCAGGTTCAATATACTCCTCTTCTCCCAGTTTGTGACTATCCCTAGCTCTACGCTACTGCTGCCGACCGACCGACCCCCTTAAATGCTTTGTTTGGGGCAACAATGTTCTTCCCCGAAGAATGCCGCACCGTTGCCCCACCAGCGGTGCCCCGGTGACCCCTTGGCTCCCGCCTCCAAGCCCATGACATCCATCCGTCCCTGAGGTCCGGGCCTCCGTGCCGTGCTCGTGACACAGCTTCGCAGAAATAAATTGGCTTTACCTTAGTAAACAGAGTGCCTACACGCCTTGTTGCTTTATTGCTAAGTCTGATGCTATGCTGCGCTGAATGAACCGGCCAACTTTAGGGGTAACACAATGCCCAGCCCTGGCCTGTTCCGGAGCGGAGTAGATCTTCGGTTTGGGGACATGTTCCGGGCGCCCACTGGCTGGGCTTCCGAACAACCCCACAGCCGGTCACGGCGCCAGACGGCCCCACCACGCTCGTCATCTCCGGTTGCATCCAAGCAGCGACATGCCCTGTCCCGCCGATCAAGCCATCCTGGCCCCGGCATCCCTTGCCTTGTAAATGAAGCTTAGCCGACTGGTCTCTGTAAGGAGGAAGTCGTAGACAATGATGATGATAATTGGGACATCCTGCTAGTAAACGCTCAAGCGTGGGAGGTGTTCCTTCAATTATGGTGTCTGTCGATTTTGTGTCGTCGATGGTTCCCTGCCTGAACCCATAGAGAGCTGCCTCGACGGAAGACGGGACATTGACCTGGCGGTCCGTAACGTTGATAGTTGTTGTGCGGTACTTGAACTCGCGCGTCAGGAACGGGAAATACATGAGTACGTCGTTGTCAAGAACGGTTGGTGTCTGGCAATGAAGTCGCCGATGAACAGTGAATGTTTTCGAGTTTGTGATCTGTGAACGCTTCCCGTGGGTAGCCCAAGGGATGGCAGAGAGCGGCAGGGTTCCTGTCAAGTGATGTATTACCGACTCCATCGATATACGTCTAAAAGTCAAACTAAGGTTCCCGTGAGGTCGTGAATGCATGTGTCTGGCTATCGCTAACTGTCGCCTCAGGCTCGGGTGTCTCGGACTCAGAGTTCAGTGTCTCAGGTTGAGAATCGTGTGCGACAGACACATGCTCGGGTTCTTGAGAACAGCGTATTCGGCGTCGTCGAGAGGAAGGGGTTGACCGGGTCCCCCATTCGAGACGGGCATTGGTTAAACCTTCTGAAGAGGCGCTTTTGGGACTTTGGCGGCCTCGGGTATCAAGAACGTGCAGTCCTTCGTTTCCGGAGTCAATCGGACGCAGCTCCAGTCTCTGTCGGCGTGGACTAGGGTTCGATTTGTCGTCGGGGAGGAAAATCTGCGAACGTTTGATCGGTTTTGAGGGGGTTCGCGTTGCTAATTGGTGTGCTCTCTCCCTAAACTTGCTGAATTTGTCTTCGTTTAAGCCAAGTATGTCCTCCAGCTTCTCCACAACGACATCAGGGCGGTCAAGGAATGTTTCGTCGTCGTCGCTATCATCTTCTGAAGGATAGTCTGCAGTTCTGAGTCGAACATCGTAGAAGGCAGCGAGATACGCCAACATTGACCTGTGCCGATTCGTTTGAGGGTCCCTCAAGGAATAAAACTCGTTCGCGTTTCGGGGAAATTGTGAAAGATCGGGTTCGAGAATGCCTTGTTCAGGGCGATATACAACGACAGGGCGAATGGAGAGAGTTGGATTCTTCAAGGCGTTGTTTCGTATGTAGGCGTGTGTTTGACGGATCTGGGCTTCAAGGCGCTGGTTTTGGGCCTTTACGTCGTCCTTGAATTCTTTGAGCTCCTGTTTGATGAGGCCGATGTCGGTTTTTAGCTCCTGTTTGACCAAGCCGATGTCGGTTTTTAGCTCCTCCCGCACGAGGTCGATAGAACATCGAACGGACGTGAACTCGGCGTTCAGCTGCTGGTCCTGGAAATTGCGCAAGTCGATGTAATCGTCACGCGAGATTAACTGATGATGCTTCTCGTGCGGCCAAGGGAAAGGAGATGGTGATGTCATGACGGCGGTGGCAGTGGAAACAACCATGTAGCGATTGGCGATCCTTGGCTTTGATGTTGTGGTAATGTTAATCGCTGATGATCTAGGCAAACGTTTGGGGGAGGCCAGTACTTATGGGAGCAGCCCACGGACAGGTGGGGCAAAGAGTGACATTGATTGGCTCATGGTCTCCGGGACCGTCCCCCCGGACAGATCAAGTGCACGGTCTCAATGGGCCAGCGCAAGCCCACTAGCCAATCAAGTAGCACTACTCAATTGGTGCGTAAGCCAGTCCCTACTAACACATCTCCCTGGCCCTTGTTCACTCTTACAAGACTCTAGTATTCACCTGAGTGAAACGCTACTAGAGACCGTGGGCATTCCAAAATGCTGTGATCACTTGGCCCCGATCTCTGCGGCGCTTTATGTGGCTCCTTGAAGGAAAGTAAATCTCTGGATAGACTAAGTCCAGAACTCAGTCCAGAACTCAGTGGTCATGTCTACAAAGCAGGGTCACGGATTCTGAGGCTAGCCTCAGTCACAACATTTTTTACCTTGCCTGCTTAAGTCTCAGGCTGCATAAAATCGAAAGAGGTAGCGGTTATCCCATCGAGTGCGGATAGACCTCATTTTTGCCAAGGGTGGGGGTTAGGCCAATCAGGACTATTGGCCGCATGCGCCTATCCAATAGTTTGGAGGCACCTTTGGTGTCCATAGATTCTGGTTGTGCATTCACTAGGGAGGTCCACTTAAGTTCTTATCGCAAAATCTGATGCTCAGAGTGGCTTATCTTTCCATCCAAAACAAGCAGCGTGGCGCATGACCAGTGTACCGCACCGGCGACAGGTTGCTGTGTGGCGTAGCATGGGCTTCCGTGGATGGGCGTTGGAGACTGTGTAGCGCCTAGGAAACTGAGACGATGACAGTGCTGCGCTGACATGTACCGTCCGATTGAGGGGCAGCCTGTTTATGCCACATGGACCTGCCGTGAAAGGGTGGAGCAATTAGTGCCTGGACCGTACGAGAAGATTCGGGCACAGTAAGCCATATTGGCCAAGGCCACAATACATGCGTGCACGGTGTATATTCATAACTCATACTCATTTATACTTCGGACTGACGGTAGGTAATCTCGCAGTGGCTTTTCTTGTTGGGAGGCTGCTGACACAAGAGCAAATTCTGACTCCAAAAGGCCCACATATCCCTGTTAAGCCAGGCGCTTCCAGTACAGCCGTGCGGAACAACACTGTATCAGTGCCAAGAGGCTTTTTGTCTTTGCGGAAAGACCCTAGACAAGTTTGCTAGCTATTGTGCTGCACTGTACGTTTGTGACGAAATCTTTGTGTGAGTGGGATCCATTCTGAGTGTAATCAACGTCTAGGATCAACTTCAGCGGCAGAGTGAACATGGTAAGCTGCTGGGTGTGGAAGAACACCGTTATAGTGTTAATAGAACTGAAGAAGCACTGTGCATTGTACGGAGTCGGGTCTAGTGGCTACCCAACCGGGCAAGCTAGACACTGCGTCCACTGTCACCATGGGGCACCAGATGTCAAGCTTAAAGCTAATGGTGATAATATCTAGAGGTACTTACATCATGTGTAATCGCAGCATCTATCGGATTTTGGGAGCATGCGCAGCAGCTACTTTTTCAACTTTTGATAATCTGTCAAGTATATCAAAGTACCTAGACGTCATCCTTACAATGAGTGAAGCCTCCAAGTGGAAGTGGCAGCTGAATTGTTCACAGACGTACGGCAGGTTCGGGTTTGCATTGGCTTCTATGATGTGCTTACTCATGCTTGTTTTCTAGCTATCCTCTCCTGCTGCGATGCTGGCCCTACGGTGAACACCTGGCCTCAGTACTCATTCATGTTCTGACAAAGGTTGGCTGTCCTCCAGCTCTACAGCAAGAAGTGGCGCCCAATCACTCTGAACGTACCAGCCAACTTGGACACCCATTCTGGGCATCTGCTTTGGGCGTCAGCTTTGGGCACCCCGCCTTGAGGACGTTTTTGGCTGCAGGTTTGGTGCACTTTCTGATTAAGCTCGACGAGAGCAGCTCCTTTGTGTAAAATATATGGATCAAATATTCGAAGCTTTGAGAAGGAGTTTGTGGGGCCAAAAAGCTAATAGGAGACAGGCCAAGAAAGGTTTACCTACCCTAACACACAATGTGCCGAATCTGCTTACTTTGAAGCTGATAACGGGCGACGATTCAGGCTCCTTAAAGTCCCGGGGACGCAACAGTATAGCAGTAAACGGCCTTGTAGCAAGGAGCGTAGACTTTAAAATAGATCAAGGCCGTTTTTAGTCCTCTCTCTTCGGCTTCTGGCTCTAACCACAGAGTAGTCAAAGATGACAACTACCACAACGTAATCCAGCAATAAACATAGACAGGCTATATAATAGCTATTTTTAGGCCTAGTATAACTATAATGCTAAGGTTACTATATTATTTTCTATTTTAGTATATTTAAAGTATATAAGTATAGACTATTAAATAATATTATACTTATTTTAATAATTATGTTATAGTATAGGCTTTAACGGTTAAAGAATAGCGCCTCTAAATTAGGGCCTGCTAAAGAAGCGAAAAAGGATTAATGAAAATTTTGATAAGGCAATAAAGAACTTGTTGTTGCAATATAACCAAATCAGATAGCGATATGGTGTAGACATATACATTTAAGTGCGTCAGATGCATAAATACTATAAGTACACTTCCTCAAATAAGCCATCGTAGGCCAAGACCAAGACGGATAATAATAGTACCTCAAAGGAAAGAACGTACCCTGTTCCTGTGACAAGAACGTCAGTCAGCGAATCCGTGCCCCGACCAGACGCCTAACATCGCGGTGACGATGGATCCTCAAAAGTAGACAGTCGCAAGGTCCCGGTCCAGACCCATCATGTTGACGCATACCATTCCGGCAACCAATTCTATAGAAAATACAATATTTATATAATTACATAAATATACTATAATGAAGGTTTTACGTATATACATATAGCTATATTACTACTTATAGTGCAGGAGAAGGAAAGCCAATATTGGCTTAGGCTTTGCGGCGGACACGCGTCAGGCGGCCGATGCAAAGGTTCCTTTCCAGTAGTAGGCATCAAAGGTCCGTTGGAAAGCGAGGTTGGGAGAATGCATGGGTCTTGCTAACGATCGTAATCATCAGCCAACAGACTAGGATCGCTGTCGGATATCACTTCCGACTTCCGCGACTGAGGTTTCCCGAGGTCCCCTGATTAACAAGGCAGCAATGGGAACACCCAGAAGTTAGCTGCTTCTTGGCGTGGCGCACAGGTCACAGAATACATCTTGGCAACCCCGCAGCGTCGAACATTGCTGCGAGATTGCGGTCGGAGGTTGACCTCATCATAGTACACAAGCTTGAGGACCGGAGAACACGAATTGGCGAGCTTGCGGAGCCGTCACATCAAGTCATGCGTCTATCATGTTTCAACGCCGGAGCCGGGCCAGGAAATGCAATATGTCCAGAACGTTGCACGCCATCCATGGCGCCGGATTCTCTGCCGTGAATGGCTGTTTGGAGGTCTGGTCGCACCGCCAGAGTCTCATTTTGGGACATTCAATCGCAGAACAAGTAGGAAATCAGCGTGGCTTCCCTACAGGGGCAGCCAATGATTCCTCATTTTCCCAGCAAGAATGTATCTTAGTTGCATTAGCCGTTTGACTTAATACCCTTCAAGGGATAGTAGATGCATAAGTTTCCGTTTCTTCGCGTTGGCATTGCAGTTGTATCCAACCAGGGAGGGGCCAGACAACGTGGATTCAGATGATTGGCCTACTAATCGAGGCATGCTAAGATACTGAGAGGGCTCCTCCTCATGTCTCTCAGTCACATTATTGGCTCACATGCCAGGTTTCATGGCCATTCTGACTCCTCATCACACCTTATTACCATGGCATTGGATGAGGTACACGTATGCACAACGATAGTGCTTCTCCAGCCGAACTGATAGCCCATTCATCCGAGTATTATCTTGCTAACTCCTCTATGGCGGTTATATCATATATGTGAGGACCAGTCGATGAGTTATAAACGGTTCACCTGCACTTCCCCCGTATGAATTAAGCACCGCCTATCATAGCAATCATCACCATTACTTCCCACAAAGACGATTCCTAAAACGGTCCATTCACTAGCTGCTTTTAACGGCTTCCCCAACTGTAGATCACCTGCTTTTCCACTTTGGTTGTAGCTGCTAACACTCACAGTCCTCAGTGGTTTCAATGTGTCATTGGGTTTTTTGGGACTGCGATCGATGCGGGACCAGGGGTCATCGACAGCAAAGGACTGCGTGCGGAAATGGCAATCATTTGGCGTACTCTAATGGTTCGACGGTTGATAGGCAGAGCGAGACATGCTATCCGTGTGCGTATCCATCACCACCCAGCTCAAACTGAATTTGGACCGACAAGTTTTGGATTGAATTGTAGCTAGGTTTCCACCGATATGGCTATTTAATTGCATCAAGTGTGAATCGGCCGTCCTAAACTGTCTCAACCCTTGGCTTCTCATAGTGAGCGCTTTTGCCATTGAGATGATCGGCCCTGAAAGGCGGCTCGCTGCCTTCTCCGTTGAGATTATGCAGCTTTTGGATTTCCCCGTTCACGTATTTTTCGAATCCCTCAGTTGCAAGACTCGCTGATACTGTCCGATTTCGGCCAAAGTGGACACCGCATACTTGGATGTTATTTTGTTCCGGTAAATGCCCAATGCTCGCGTCATAGGCATCGTGGCCTAAATCAAATACGATGAAAACTGCCAGACTGTAGCGATCTATCGCTATAAGTCTAGGTTTCGATACGCCGCTGTTGTTCCAAAGTTCTTCTTTCTCCATAGCTTTGAGTGCCTGGTCTATGACTTCCGTACTATTATCCCAAGCAGTCGGGTAGTAGGTACTCTTTGAGGATACCCTGGCGCAAACCCTCAAAGGTTTTGCCATTGTACTACAGCAGGCGGTTAGCATATCTTTCACGGGAAT